TAAGAAGAAGAATCAATCAACCTTTATTTATACTATAAGAAGGATAAAACCGCGGGTTGATATTTGGACCGAGCTGAGTTAATATCCGGAAGTTCAGCACGTTACACAGCTGTCTACACCAAACCACGCCCACATACACTCGCGCTGAGGCACGTTCTTGTACGTGCATCCTCATTGGATGAATCCTGCGGCTGTGGGCGGGCCCTGGGCCGAACAAAATTAGTACCAATCAGCGTTTGTTTCAAAATAAAAGACATGCGTTTTGTAGCCTGTCAATAAACAGGAGTATTCAAAATTTAATCAACACATTATCAATTTTTTTCAAATTATAAATTTGTGTTTACGTAATAAAAGGCTGAACGAGACGCGGTAAAGCATACTTACTAATTCGTTCCGGCCGGCAGCTATTATTTTGAAATCCCGTACCGGAAGTTTCTATTGCAGTCAGCTCATATCTGCTCCAACATGGTTTATTTTGTGTTTGTGATTAACTGAAGCTGCGAGGAAGATGTTGGAAGAGAAGTAGTCCGCGGGGGATAAATCAAGGGGACCCTCAGGAGGACGACCGTCTTCTAACAGGTAACGTGATGAAAGCGTGAAGTGAGACAAACATATGGCGATGACAGGAAGTGGAAGCAAACAGGACGAGTTTATACATGTTTACATGTTTATACATGTTTACATGTTTATACATGTTTACATGTTCTCTGACACCCGGACGTTTTAACTCCATTTGTGCTTTATACTGACTTTTAGTAAACTGCATAAATACATACTGGTTTGTTGTGAACCCCCTCTTCCTGGTTGTGGTTTGTAACTTTTCTTTAAGTTTAACCGGAAGTCCTAACCACCCCCCCCCCCAAAAAAAAGGAAGTGTCCAAAATGTAAATGTACATCTCTGTAGATGCGTTCAAAACTGCTAGTTTATGTTGAGTTAACTTTTCCGCCCCCACCTAGGACTGTCAGAGCACATCTCAATCTTCCTGGCTCCTGCTTACATGCCCCCGCTGAGACGCTCCAGACCGGTACCAAAGGAAGTTAAATGCTGGATCCAGGACAGTGGCCCCATACTGAGAGATTGTTTTGACCGAACAGACTGGCAGGTTTTCAGAGAAGCTGCTGAAAATGGAGGTTCGCTTGATCTTGACCAATACACATCCTCAGTACTGGGTTACATTAGTACATGTACTGACACTGTCTCCACTATCAGAAATGTTAAAAGCTACCCAAACAGAAAACCTTGGCTGAATGCAGAGGTGCGTACCCTGCTGGAAGCCAGGAACACTGCCTTCAGGTCTGGAAACTCAGAGGAGCTGAGTAGGACAAGAAAAGAGCTGGTTGCTGGTATTAAGAAGGCCAAGGCCACATATGCAAAGAGGATCGAGGGTCAATTCATCTCACAAGACCCTCGGAGCATGTGGAGGGGCATTAAGTGCATAACAGATTATAAAGGAAGGAGTGAACAATGCCCCAAAGACCCATCTCTGCCTGATGCCCTCAACAAGTTCTATGCACGCTTTGAAGACCCGAACAGACCACCCAGCACCAGACTCACCTCGCCACCGGATGAAGAGCATCTCAGCGTGACCTCAGCAGAAGTAAGGAGTACCTTCAGGAGGATTAATCCGCACAAAGCAACTGGCCCAGACAACATCCCCGGAAAAGTGTTGAAGGAAAGTGCTGATCAGCTCTGTGAGGTGCTGGCAGACATCTTTAACACCTCACTTACCCTGGAGACAGTTCCCACCTGCCTGAAGACTGCCACCATCATCCCAGTCCCAAAAAGCTCTACAGTGACTGGTCTGAATGACTATCGGCCAGTGGCCCTCACCCTGATAGTCGCTAAATGCTTCGAAAAACTGGTCATGACTCACATCAAAACAACCATCAACATCAACGAGGACCCTCATCAGTACGCATAAAAAATGTGTTCATTCTAATTTATTCTGCTAATTTAGGCTTGTTCTTCCATTTCAGCTACAACTCCGCTTGTTCTTTTTAGCTAATTTCAGCTGTTTTTCAGCAAGTTCTTCAGCAATAAGTATTCAAATTATTGAGCATGTATCAGGATATTCAAATGACATTTTCACAGGAAATGAAATTTCTCTAGTTTTTTTACTTTTCTGTCACAACAAACAGCTGAAGGTCTTTTTATTTTAAATCTAATTATTTCTGGTGATCTCACAGGTGACACAGAAACAACTTCCCAGAGGCGACGCCCAGTTTTCTCCACTATAAACTGGTTTAGTGTCGGATGACGATTCCAACAGAAGCTGCAGAGAGTTCAGCTGTTACAACCAGCAGGACCAGGATGGTCTGCAGCTGCTCATGAATAAACAACAACAATCAATAACAATAAAACTAAAGAAGGTCGCGGTCTTGGACACAACAATGCAGCTTAAGCTTTTGTGTGGAAGGAAAATGGTGAGAGGTGATGTTTGTTCAGGCCCGAGGCGCAGCAGCGTTTCTTGCTGCTACAAGACCGAGGACTTCCAGAGAAGAACAGCAGCTGTAGACACGAGACACGAACTGCACTGTGGACGCTTGGTGCACAAGATCTGGTTTAAACAGCTGAAATGGAAGAACAAGCCTAAACTAGCAGAAGAAAGCAGAAAGAACACATATTAGCTGGATTAGGCTTAAATCAGCAGAAGTGAGGACAAAAACTGGGTCATAAAAAAGGCAGAAATTAGCAAATAATAGCTGAAATGTGTCTGAAAAGGCAGAAAGAAGCTCAAACTACTAGAAGAAAGTGGAACGAGCTGAACTGAGGTTTAAAAAATAAAAAGTGGAATTAACAGAAAAAGCTGAAAGGAGCATAACAAGCTGAAATTACCATAATAAGTTAATTAAGCTGAAAGTAGCAAAAATGACTATGGAAAACACAGTTTATCTGAAAACAGCTGAAATTAGCAAAAATGCTAAACAGCTGGCTGAAAATGTAGAACAAGCTGAAATTAGCAGAAGAAAGCAGAAAGTGCGTTTGTCCAATTTTATGCTGAAAGAAGCTGAATAGAGCCCAAATAAGTGGAAATTATCTGAAGTAAAGCTGAATTAGCAAAAAAAAAAAAAAAAAGCTGAAAAGTAGCTAAAACTGCAGAAGCTTAAATTACAAGAAGTTGAGAGCACATTTTTGCTGAATTAAGCAGAAACATTTGAAAAGAGTGCAAAAAATGTGGAATTAGTTGAACAGACTAAAATTAGCATAAAAAGCTAAATAGTAGCTGCAATAGCAGAGAAGGCTGAAACTTGCAGAAATAAGCTGAAAGGAGCACAAAACGGCTGAAAATAGCTTAAAAACATTTAAATTTGCACAGGAAGCTGAAAGCAGCTGAAGCAGAACAAAAAGGGTAAAGGTTGTAAACACAGCTAAAGATTTGAAGGATGGAAAATGAGCTCAGTTCATTTTCTATGAGAAAAAATGGCAGAAAAAGCTAAATATTTCAAAAAGCTAAAGTTGCACCAATACCAAAAGTCACAGCAGGATTGTCCTGAAAGAGCCAAACATTTTGACTCATGATTTGGTGAAATAGCTGAAACCTGCAGGACGAGACTTGTGCCGATAAATGTACGGCAGAGAACTGTCAGTCGTGTGAACGCTTCATAAACAGTCACTCTTTAAACTTGGCTCTCGTACAGTTGGTGATCGTTGCTGGATTTATTTAGTCTGTCTCACTCTTTCGTACAGTTGGTGATCGTTGCTGGATTTATTTAGTCTGTCTCACTCTCTCGTACAGTTGGTGATCGTTGCTGGATTTATTTAGTCTGTCTCACTCTCTCGTACAGTTGGTGATCGTTGCTGGATTTATTTAGTCTGTCTCACTCTTTCGTACAGTTGGTGATCGTTGCTGGATTTATTTAGTCTGTCTCACTCTATAAACTTGGCTCTCGTACAGTTGGTGATCATTGCTGGATTTATTTAGTCTGTCTCACTCTTTAAACTTGGCTCTCGTACAGTTAGTGATCGTTGCTGGATTTATTCAGTCTGTCACTCTTTCAGGATGGTTCTTCAGATTGTGCTGGGCTTCCTGTTGGGCCTCAGCGCTCTGGCCGCAGACAAAGACGTGGCTCAACAGGGTCCACCGCCGCTGCTGCTGGTGTCGTTCGACGGCTTCCGGGCCGATTACCTGCAGAGGTTTCCCATGCCGAACCTGAAGCTCCTGTACAGCCAGGGGGTCCTGGTGGAGCAGCTCACCAACGTCTTCATCACCAAGACATTTCCCAACCACTACAGCTTGGTAAGCGTGGTTTACTTACTTTACTTTGTGAATTGTAGCTGACGTCATTAAGTAAAACATATATTTTTATTTGTTTAGGGACACGTGTTTAATATTCACTGGACCATAAACTTATATTTGTTGTCTCCATCATCTCCATCTCCATCTATCTAAATCTGCATCTATAATTCTAACAAAAACTGTAAATCCATAGCACACCACTAGGTGGCGAGAATGTTTATACTAACATTAAAAACGGAAAAAGCTTTTTTGACTCAACTAAAACTCTTTCCTTTGATGTCATTTCCAGTTTTCTCTGATTTTTTTTTCAGCACCAATTAAAGTTTATTTGAAACGGGATCAGGATAAAGACGGACCTCTAGAAAATAAAACGTATTTGAAAACAAATGGAGGGACAAGGAGCACTAACTTATTGCGGACTAGTTTATCTGAAGTCTACAGAAATACACCAAGAAGTACAATTTTTAAATCTCTGGAATAATTTGGATGAAGCCTAAGTGGAAACACGATGTTAGAAAGCACCTGAGGGGCATGATACAAATTTAAAAATAGGGTAGAGATTAGAAAATTAAATTAAAATGTAAGTTATCGTCTTCAGTTTCTTGAGAAAATGTCGATTGTCAGCCAAAGAGTTTCCTTTTCATGATTTTAACTGTCATCCTCAGCATGTACTGAGAAACCTGTAAAAAAAAAAAAAAAAATTGGACCAAGAACTGCGCCTTGTGGTACACCTGTATTTATGTTGAGAGGATGATTTGTCAGCACAGATATAAACCAACTGTGTAAAATAATTGTAAATATTTTGGGGGAAACGGATCATTGTTGGTGATCTTCTCCTCTCCAGGTCACCGGGCTGTACGCAGAGTCCCACGGTATCCTGGCGAGCAGCATGTACGACCCGGCCACCCACAAACACTTCAGCGTCCAAAACGACTCTGATCCCATGTGGTGGAACGGCGCGAAGCCTCTGTGGCTGACAGCTCTCGACTCTGGCTACAAGACGGCAGCTGTGATGTGGCCCGGTTCTGACGTGACCATCGGTAACCGCACTCCCACGCACTTCTTCCACTACAACTCCAAGATGACGTTCCAGCAACGCGTGGGGAACGTGACGAACTGGATGTTGGGAGACGGAGAGGTGAAAAGTAACTTGTGACTCCACTTGTGCTCAGCTATGAACCAAATATCTTAAAACCTTTTCTTACCATTGTGGCAGGAGAAAGGCGTGATGTTCGCAGCTGTTTACTGGGAGGAACCGGACCAATCTGGTCACGCCTTTGGCCCTGACAACACCACAGAAATGGCTAAAGTGCTCAAGGGGGTACAGTTGGATAATTATATAATCTTGTTGTTTATCTTTCACACATTTGTCCCCGTCGCAGAGCAAATGAGGACAATTGGGAATTGAGGACGACTTAAAAAATAAATGTGGTACCAGCTAGGCCTCCATCTTGTCGAAGCTCCAAAATTCACGTTTAAAACTTGTCTTTGTGTAAAAAGTTTTTTTTCTCTGCAAAAAGAAGCTGAGAACTTGTTTACTGATTTTTTTTTTTTTATTGTAAGTTTTGTGTGAAAAATGCTGAAGAGCTCAAACCACACAGAGCGTCCGCCATTTTGAGAACCAAAAAAAAAGGAAAGCGAGAGAGCCCATGTCACGTCAAGGGGCCTCCCTCCCATTTTCTTAAAGACACGCTGCTCGCTCCCTCACTATCCATCTTTTGGTTCAGTCTTGTACTGCCATCCGGTGGTCGAAAAAAGTACCACACTTAAAACAAATGAACAAACATTTCTTCTTAAATTTGACAATAATGACTAATTATTATCAAATTTCAAACAATATTATCGTTTATCGTAATAATTTCTGAGACGATTAATTGCCCAGCAAAATGTTATGGTGACAGGTCTAGTACCCGCTTCCATTTTGGTGCATGGCTACCTCCTACATGTAAAAACGGTTCCTTTAAAAATGGGTCCACTCCAAAATCTAAGACAGGGTTTCCCCTCGGTCACTAGTCTTGGCAGGGCGCTCATCTCTTCTGGGATTTTTGTTGACGGGGAGAGGGGGGTGGGAATTGGTAGGCAGTGCGCTCGGTTCTGTTGACAGGGCGGGACGCCCTCCTTGGAAAACGTTAGGGGGAAATACTGCAAGATGACTGCAGCCATATACGTTTTTATTTAAACATTGTCAGCTAGCTAGCCTTTGAAAATAAGCAACGCGCCAACTTCCATTGTGGTGTGTAGCTGCATCTAGAGATAAGAAAGGTCACTTTCAAAAACTGGGTAGTCTACCCCTGTCCACCTCCATGTGTGTATATATTAACTTATCACCCTAATCATTTGAAGAAACTGTCCCTTCTCGTTTTTGCTTAAAAGTATACTTTCCTTAAATAACTGGGATGGCAGAATATTCATTTATGGTGACCAAGGCCACCACTGGCCTCCCCTTGGCTCAGCCGTTGTGCCTGGTGTTGGGTGAACTTGCTCGATACACTGGCCAGGATCCATAACACTGCGCTGCCTCAGAAAAACAAACAAAAAAGCTATTCTTCTCCGCAGAGTAACTCCCCACGTGAATATCTTGTCCCCAAAACATTAAGGTTTACTTGCATTCTCTGTTCCGTTCCAGTCCAGAAAAACACTTAACCTCAAAATCTACAAACATTCACTCTTTAAATCCCTCGGCGACGGGAGACATCAGTGCACCACTTGTTTGGTTATGAACCACGAGCGTGATTAACTTGTACCAACAGGTAGATGACGACATCGGACTGCTGATGTCAGAGCTGAACCGAACCGGACTCTGGGGTCGCATCAACCTCGTGGTGACCAGCGACCACGGCATGGCCCAGTGCTCGGCCGAGCGCCTCATACGCCTAGACGACTGTCTCCACCCGGACAACTACACCCTGGTGGACCTCACGCCTGTTGCGGCCCTCATCCCTAACGGAGGTAACCAAGTACAGGTCATGCTCTAAATGTTCTCCTGTTTTTTGGTGGTTCAGCGTCCGTTTCTCTGCATCTCATGTTACAGACCAAGAGGCTGTCTTCAGCTTGCTCAGTAAGTGCCACCCCAACATGACGGCGTACTTAAAAAAGGAAATCCCCAAAAGGCTTCATTATCAGAACAACGAGCGCGTCCAGCCGATCATTCTGGTCGCTGATGAGGGTTGGACCATAGTGCGGCGGGGGAACAAGCTACCAAGATGTAAGTACTACAAAAAAATTGTGTCATTAATAAGCTCCACCCACTCACTCTCCTTTTGAACTCACCCTGCAGTGGGAGATCACGGCTATGACAACTCATTGCCCAGCATGCACCCCTTCCTAGCAGCAACAGGCCCCAGTTTCCGTCAAGGATACCGGATCAAGAGTCTACAGAGCGTGGATATCTACCCGCTCATGTGCCACCTGCTGTCGGTGCCGGCGCAGCCCAACAACGGATCCCTGAGCCAGGCGCAGTGTCTTCTGGCTGTTGAGACCTACTGGAACGTTCCCATGCTGATCGGCCTGGTGGTCGGCGTCCTGCTCCTGCTCACTACCGTCCTGGGTAAGCCTGGCTTGTCGTGGGGGTTCGGGGGCGTCTCTGTGTTCGAGTCACAAACTAACGGAACTTGTTGCTCCTCAGTTCTTTTCAGGTTGATGAACTCTCGCCGGTCCTCGGACCCCCGACCCTTCCAGAGACTGGAGATCCTTGATGACGACGACGAACCCTTGATCGAGTAAACCCCTCAGGGCCGTTGGCCACAGGTGCCTCTCATGCTGCACTTTACTTCACGTGTTGTATACATGCCAGATCTGCTGACACCTGCCGTGGACTTGTGCACTGACCTCACAGCTGTTACCATGGTTACCATGTCCGGTCTCCATTTTACTGAAGGTCGACTTGACCAAAAAAATAAGCCATATTTCACCGAACAGCGACTTTTTAGGAAAACGGTAAAAATGTTTTTGGTAAAATAAATTATTCACTTTAGTACTACTGACAAAAATAAAAACTGATTGAGTTTGTTGATTTTAGGAGGTTATTCTTTGTGTTGTTCTGTTTTTGTTTATAAAATTGGTTCTATTTAATGTGTATTTTCTTTATTCTGACAGAAGAGGGCGCCAAAAACTAATTTAGGATTTGATGCGTCTCGTTTGTCAGAATTCTTTAAACATAAGAATATATCTTTTGGAGGGTTTTTTTAATGGGTACTAGTACTTTGTGGGTTTACTTGTTACACTGAATCAATCAGCAGAAAAATATATTTTTATTCTAAAATAGTGTTTTGAAAAATGGGGCTTCTTTGCACGATAGTTGTTTAAATTTTTCCATGTGTCCTAAGTGATTTGTGGTTCTGTATTCAAGACCAAAGACCGTTTGTATGAAGCAGAACCCTCCTACTCCCCAAAGAGACCCTGACTCTGAGGCCTCGGGTCAGTTTGACCAAGAACAGCAGGACGGGTAAAATTGATCGACTTCTAAAACCAGGAAATGTCTCATTTTATACATAAATCCAGGGAAGGACTTCAGTGGATTAAATTATCATCCTTCTAAATAAATGTGCACTGGATTCACAAGATTAATAAACAATGCAGTTTATTTAGGTTATTTTTAAAAATAGTTACTTAAAATAAGCAGATACTCTGGAAAGAAGTGGAGACGACACTTGACTGGGATCAAATCTGAATGTTTGCTGCTCAAAGGTCAAAATGAAAAACATCTAGATATTCTGTACTTTTCTGTATTTCAGACATATCTGGTAAGAAAGACTCCTGTGCATGATACGAAAAGACTTGGGTTAAAGACTTGTGGGTTAAAGACTTGTGGGTTAAAGACTTGTGAGTTAAAGACTTGTGAGTTAAAGACTTGTGAGTTAAAGACTTGGGTTAAAGACTTGTGGGTTAAAGACTTGTGAGTTAAAGACTTGTGAGTTAAAGACTTGTGAGTTAAAGACTTGTGGGTTAAAGACTTGTGGGTTAAAGACTTGTGGGTTAAAGACTTGTGGGTTAAAGACTTGTGGGTTAAAGACTTGTGGGTTAAAGACTTGTGAGTTAAAGACTTGTGAGTTAAAGACTTGTGAGTTAAAGACTTGTGAGTTAAAGACTTGTGAGTTAAAGACTTGTGGGTTAAAGACTTGTGGGTTAAAGACTTGTGGGTTAAAGACTTGTGGGTTAAAGACTTGGGTTAAAGACTTGGGTTAAAGACTTGGGTTAAAGACTTGGGTTAAAGACTTGTGGGTTAAAGACTTGGGTTAAAGACTTGTGGGTTAAAGACTTGTGGGTTAAAGACTTGGGGGTTAAAGACTTGTGGGTTAAAGACTTGGGGGTTAAAGACTTGTGAGTTAAAGACTTGTGGGTTAAAGACTTGGGGGTTAAAGACTTGTGAGTTAAAGACTTGGGGGTTAAAGACTTGGGGG